ACGAAATAGTCACTTTCCGAAATATAATAAGCACTACACTTAGGTGACCGAATTCAGAATTTAACCTTAATACACATTTATATAAAATTTTTAAAATTCACCAAGAACAATCAGGAAGAAAGCAGTAGGTTAAGTAATAAGAGCATCTAACAAGTAAGACGTGCATGAAACAGGTGATTCCCGCACAAGTCGCGTTTGTCGCCCAAGGAGAAGAGAGCACGAGTGTGTTCTATACTGTATTTTAGATAGCCTTTCCGATATTTTATTTTATTTTAATTCAAGGATACTTGATCATATCACTAATTTACATTAAGGACAGTTGTAGCTGCTGAGGTGAGACGAGAGTATTTTGTTTCCTTTGCTGTATTTACAATTTCAACAACATTTGAACATCATCTCACTTTTAGCACGCTTGGGTTGATCTAAAAGTAACTATTTTTGGTAGGAGCTATCTAAAAACTATATTGTATGGCTCACCATTCCAGTTGGCGACAACGTTTGCGACTGTAGACGAAGCCTTCGGGACAGTTTTCTGGTGAATCGAAGATTCTTCTCCTTTCTGCGCCATGTACATACCACCAGGGAAGGTGGGCACCCATAACGGTTGTGAGCAAAAGTACGATTAAAACGACGATCAATTGCCCTCGAAGGAAGTGCATGGTTGCGGACCAGGTCACAGACTAATTAGAGATTTACATTGCACCTGTTCATATGAGGAATGTTATATCTGAAACTGGTATCGGATATGCTTTATCAAACGCCCACAGGTGGGAAACCACTATTTCCGGGTTATATCTTTTACGAGAATAATTTTCGTTATTGAATTGAAATTAATAGCCAATTACTCCAACGATTACATACAATGGGGAATTCTTTTGAAAGTTTCATTAGAGCTATTGATTACATTTTGGATTTCTCGACGAACGACAGGAAAAATAATTGGTCTCAAGAAATAATTTATATTATATTCCATGTTCCCATAAATAGTCGAAACCTTTTTTTTGCGAAGTTTTTCACTGTAATAGTTGGCGAATCCGGAAATACAAAATAATCTATCGGTCAAACAGACGAACTGTCATGAAAAAAGTATTATTCTGAGTAAATGACCCACAGAAAGTGGATTTTACTATGTATAAGCAAAAGTAATTTAGTACGCAAAGAAAATACTATCCTTTCTATACCACCGATCCAAACAAAATGTTTAGTCTCGAAATTCGGCAGTTTTTGCTTCTTTACTGCTGCTAGTATACAAGACAGTTAATATCGAATTACTCTTGCCGATTCCAAAATTAAAGCTTATAAAACCTCTATGCAATCATATTAATGTATAAAAAAGAACAATCTGCATTTGTAAGGTATGTAACAAGTATCACGTGTGCGAAATAGGTGTTTCGCGTACGAGTCGAGTTTCGTCCCCCAAGCACACGCGTGGGAGACAAAAGACGAGCGAGCGTAATACCTATTTCAGGCATGGCGTTAAAAAATATATTGTTTTGTGGCTCACCATTCCAATTTGCGACAACGGTCTTGAGCCAAGACGTAGCCTTCGGGACAGTTTGGTGGTGGATCGATTACATTTCTCCTCTCTGCGCCATGTACATACCACCAGGGAAGGTGGGCACCCATAACAGTAGTGAGCAAAAGTACGATTAAAACGACGATCAATTGCCCTCGAAGGAAGTGCATGGTTGCGGACCAGATCACAGACTAATTAGAGATTTACATTGCACCTGCTCATATGAGGAATGTTATATCTGCAACTAGTGTCGGATATGTATTATCAAGCGCCAACACGTGAAAAACCACTATTTCCGGGCAATTTGTTTTACGTAAATTTTCGTTATTGACTTCCTGGTTATTGAATTGAAAGGTAAGGCCAATTATGCCAACGATTACATACACTGCGGGTTTCTCTTCATTGGTTTCATTAGAGCTATTAATTAAATTTTGTATTTCTTGAACAGTGACAGGGAAAATAAAGGTTCTCAGGAAATAATTTTTAATCTGTTCCATGATCGCATCATTTGTCGAAACGCTTTTTTGGGAAGTTTATGAAGGTAATAGTTGGCGAGTATGGAAACACGAAATAATCAAACGTTCATGCGGGTAGACAGACGAACAGTCAATCATTTAAAAAAATAAATTCTTTTTCTGTGTGAAAGACCCACTTACTGTGGATTTTACTACGTGTAGGCGAACATAACGTAATACCCAAAACATCAAGAAAAAACGACTTTTTCGATATCAGTGACCCACAAAAACTCTGTCTCAAAATTCGCCAGTTTTCCATTCTTTAGAACAGCTTGTAGTATACAAAAAAACTAATTACATATTTGTGGGCTCCAGAATTCAACCTTATTAAACCTTTATATACGCTTATTAATGCATCAACAAGAACAATTTGTATTAGTAAGTTACAAGTATCACGTGCGCGAAACACGTGAATCGCGTGCGAAGTCGAGTTTGTCGCCCGAGCACACGCGTGGGCGATACAAGACAAGCCTGCGAAAAACCTGTTTCGCGCGCGACGTTAAAAAATGTACTGTTGTATGGCTCACCATTCCTTTTTACGACAACGGCCGTGAACAAAGGCGAAGCCGTCGGGACAGTTCTCTGGAGAATCGAAGATTCTTCTCCTTTCTGCGCCATGTACATACCACCAGGGAAGGTGGGCACCCATAACGGTAGTGAGCAAAACTATGATTAAAACGACGATCAGTTGACTTCGAAAGAAGTACATGGTTGAGGACCAGATTGCAGACTAATGAGAGATTTAAATTGAACTTGCTCATATGAGGAATGTTCTATCTGCAACTGGTGCCGGATATGCATTATCAAGCGCCAACAGGTGGCAAACCTCTATTTCCGGGCTATTTGTTTTACGTAAATAATTTTCGTTATTGACTTCCTGGTTATAGAATTGAAATTAATGGCCAATTAAAGAAACGATTACATACTCAGGGTTTCTTTTAATTTGTTTCATTAGAGCTGTTGGTACACTTTTCGACATTTCTTGAACGACTGGAAAAAAAGAATGGTTCTGGAAAGAATTTGTATTCAGTTCCATGTTCATATCAATAGTTGACACGCATTTTAGGGTAAATAATTCATATTTTGACTGAAAATAGTGTTTTAGAAAAAAAGAAACGTTTTGAAATTTTATTGAATTCTTTGTGTTCTATCAATTTAAATTAGGGATTACCAACAGGGTCAGTATTGACCCAAAGAACGTCTTTGAAATTTTGAAGGGCGTCAATGATGATTAAGGGGTCGATTGGTGGTCAATAGGCAAACATCAGGTTAATCAATATATCATTAATTACAAAAAACTGTTAAATAATGTTTTATGATACACTAAAGCAATAAACGAATGATAATGAATTACAACATATCTCTTTTCTCTTATCCGACCTTCATCCTTAACAATTTGGATGTTTAGAAAACTCAAGAAAATATAACAATGTATTCACAACGATACTCGCGCAAGAAAGTACTCTCCACAATAATCACTAGAGAAATATAATGACGAGCTCTTAAAAAGCGCTCATTTTCAAATCACTGAATTTCAATGAAGTGTATAACTCAACTATTCAAAAGACGAAATGTCTTCAATCATTAAAAAATCGGGATTTTTACAAGAATATTTGTTTACAAAATTGTTATCTTTATGGTATTTATGTACAATTCTATGTGTCTGATAATGGATGCTGTATATTGCTGAGAAAACGTAAGGTGGACGATAAAGCAAACAATTCGTTTCAAAGGGGACGATTAAAGAAAAAAGTTTAAGAATCCTTTATTTAAAAAGGAAGTGATGTTCTACCTTCAAGGAAAATTCGTTAAACATCAATCAATCTCTTGATATAAGCAACTGAAGTAATTAGTAATAGTCAAAATAGGGATACATGATACGAATCATGAACATAAACATATTATTACTTGCTTATCCGAATTATTTAAGTTTGACGACACCATTACCTTTAAAACATGTAAATACACATCTTCAATGGAATCGTATTTCTAGTGGTGGTGATCTAGTAACCAGACTTTGTTGTTAATGTGAGAAAACCAAATGCTGTGGTAGAAGTTGTTTCAATCGAAAACATTTTGTTTTTTCACCTTCAATAATGTATACATTGGAGACAAACGTATGTACCCGTAACAACGAATCATTTATACTGATCCTTGTGTGAATTATTACTTAGAATATGATAATTATACAGTACACTAAAATGAAGGCGATAAAAAATGTACATTTTCGCATTTTTTGAAAATTAAGAGGGTTCAGTGCAAACTAGATGCTATAATAGCACACACATTCTCCCATTATTTCTAACTCTTACAATTTTCGAAATTGTAACGGGTTCAATAAAAAATAGATTTTCTCAAGCGCCCTTCACTATATCAGAGGAAAAAAATAAATACGTATGTGGATATTTTTGAGATAAAAATATAAATTGCATTAACTTCAAGCAGATATTAGGTGAAAACTACTAGTTTCCCGGAAGCATTGACAAGAGTTTATTTAAAAATCTGATTTTTTTAAAGAGTTCATTGAAGAAAAAAAATCTGTCTTCTTTATTGTACTTTTGTAATGTTTATTTTGTTGTTGAGAATTGTTCGAAAATAGGACCAGTACCAATTTTGTACAGTCCTTTGATACATACGAGGAGAAAACGATTGATTAAAATTTGAATATATTTCACGCACAATTTTGAAGGAAAAAATAGAGACCCCAGTGATATTTGCTCGGTTATTGTATTATACTTCATTATTTAATATATATATTTCTAATATATATTATCATTATCAGAATATTATTAAATTATCGTGGTTTTACCAAGATATTATTTATTTTAAAGTTGAAGAAATACAATTTAAATTGATATACATTTCCGAATGACGTACAAATGAACAAATGACCGCCCCCAAAAAACGTAGGACGAATTTTGTAACGTCCTCCATTCGAAATTTGTGTACAAAGTTAAATGCCCACTTACGTAGATGCTGAGCCCCCTCTAGGGAGCGTTTGTCCATTAACAAGCGGCACCGTTCTCTGATCATCTTGTACGGCGGGTGACATTGTTCGGGCATGTCCCCAACTTGTCTTCTGTAGCTACTTTCTTCAGGCCAGTCGCCAATCGGCTGCGCGAAGGTAGTCCACGCCAGGATCAGCACCAGAACGGTCGAAAGTAAGACAGCGGGAGGAAAGCGCATTTTGTAGGAAAACAAAATGCTGTTCCGAGTAGTAACAACGCACGATAGTCTACCTGGCTGCCAACTGCTAACCATCTACTCACTGTCTCCGACTTAATACCAACGCGTGGTAATTGGCGCTGAACCTCTACTTCCGGCGGCTGAATACAGAATTGACCGTTTCCTGCCGCATTAATGAACTTCTATTAATTAGGTTTTGTGGTCTGACTATCAATTTTTAGCGCGGTTCATTTGTGCTTTAACTCGCTTAAAACGCTCGGATATTTCCTGGTGAAATGAAATTTAATACATTTTTTTCGAACTATTCTTAAAGTAAAATAACTCTTTTACATTTTCAGTAATATTAGATGCAGGTTATTTCCTTTCGGGCATATCGGGATTTTGAAAAAAAATATTAAAATTTTCATGTATTGTTGGTGCGCACTAATTATAATTTTCCTGAATTTAATAAAATAATATGTGGATATTTAAGAGATGACATTTGTTCATTAGATCAAGGTATTCGTTATATTTGCTCTTTATTATTAGCTCTTTACAAAAAAAAATCCTTGCGATTGTATTTAATTTTTATGCTTGAATTTAGTGACAATTAAAATCATGCTAATTGATTATAGTTTTCAAATATGTATTCTTAATATCGTTAAGTTCGCCGACATTATGAAAGTTTTTGAAAATCTTTAAACGACGTGCGAGTGGTAAGGTATAAAAACATTACATGTCATCAAAGTTATATTATTATATATACTTTTCCCGGACGCGATCAATTCTTTCATTAATTTCAATTCATTCAGTTTTTTTAAATGCAAATAAACGATGGTATGATCTCAAACATAAGCCGTGCATGGAAATTGTTTAAAACGGCCACAATCGAGATGATACTTTTAAACGAATTTTAATTAGTCCACAGGAAACTACATTAAACGTAACAAAACATTTTGAAAACTTCATATTTCGCTCTTGTTTTTCGTCAACGAGAACCACTAAAAATGTAGTAAGTAACAAACAGCGGGAAATGCAATTGCAGCAGCTTGCCGATGCGATAAATAAAAACACAAATATTATTTTTAGTGCCAATACGATTGCTTCAGGTTACCAGTACTTCACATGGATATAATAGAAGTGAGCGATCTCGTCTTTAACGATGCTCAATTCTTTTAGAATCTGTGAAAAAATCGGTAGTTGTCCGGGGCCGAGTAATACCAGAGTTGGGCACAATACTTTAAATTTAGTATGCTGAAATAATTTAGTAAATAAGTATTTAATAAAAATACATTAGGTTTTGATTTGCTAAATACATTGAGAGAATAAAAAATACCATTCGGGATTTTTGTATTCGAAAAGAAAAAAACAAAACAAAAAAACATTAATGGCATATAACAGGTGAAATACTAGGAATTACGTAAAGATACAAATTAAAATTAGTCATTGGGAATGCAAGGCATCTGAAAATGAAAATATTATATTGATTAAATAAGTTTTGATCTAGAAACTTTTTCTGGAAAATAAACAATTTAGCAAGGCCAAGACTTGTTTAAATATAAGGTATAAAATGAAATTAGAAAAATAATTATCATTTTTCCAAATGGATATTCGATGGCCATCAAAAATAGGTAACATAAGATAAAATACGAGATATTGTCAAATATTAAAAGCAAAAAGAATATTGAAATAAAGATTAATACTGCAGCCGACACTTCATGTCGCTGATAATTTCATACAAATTAGAAGGCGTTGATTTTGATGAGGATTTGTTAAAGGAATAAATAACATAATATTTCTTAACAAATTTAAATTATTACCATACCATTCGTATGAGTCGTATTCGTTTTCTAGCCCATGAGAAGATGAAAATACCCTGAGATAACGTATATATGTAAACGTCCAAACTCCTTGATAAAACTTTAAGCTAGCCACTCCATTAATTTGAATAATAAATTATTAGGCAACGTAGGGCGAAATACAAATGGCATTACATTTATATTAGAGGAAAGACGAATTGTCACAGTTGATTATATTAAGGAGCTGAATATTGAATTGTCACTATGGCATGCACAACGCAGGGCAAAATGTCGTTGATTGAATAAGAGCGAGATGATAAATTGTCACAACATACATATTTAAAATACTTAAAATAATCGAAATACAATATTGTAGTATATGCTATTATTTCAACAATATATTGTAATTGTCAATTACAATATATTAATAATTGACAGTCATACAAAGTTCTGAACAACACCTAACTATAATATTTATGTATTCTTAATGTAATTTAACAAACAAATCAACGAAACTAAACAAAAATAATCATGCATATCTGCGTTAATTGTGTTACAAATGTTGGAATTAAAAAAAAAGATTCACGAAATTTATTTTTATTAAAGACTTTTAAGTATTTCTTTTTAAAGTAACATCTCCAAAATAATGTTCAAAAACCTTAAAAATACATTTTTTCAAATACAAAATGTATTTCAAATACAAAGTATTTAAAAATTGCCGAACCCTGACTACAGCGGCACAATATATTCATCAACATGCCATATCACGCGTGCGCGTCTTTCTCTGCCATTCTCTCTAGTGCCATCCTTCGGGACGCGTGTATCGTTACCTATCCGTCATGATCTTGAACGACCTCCGGCAATTTTATGAATACGCGGATGCCATGCTAGATCTAGAATGGGCTGTGGAGTTAGCAGAAAAGGCTGGGAATGCGACGAATTTATCTTTTTCTGAAGGAATTGCGTCATTGGCCGTGTAACTGCCAAAGCGGTTTTCAGGAAATAACTTTTTCAGTCACTCGGTTTTTTGGTACATAAGCGGTTTTCTTCGGATAATACAAGAAAAAAGCGAGGGAAGGGAGGAAAAGAAAGCACAATCGGCACAGAGTTGGGACACATCTGTACTTACGAAACTTACAGAGACTATTGCGTTAAGAGTAGAATCTTCAACTTCTATTCCTTACCTTGAATTAGACGTCCTCGTGGGCAAGGTTTCTTGCACTTCTTTCTATTTCTAAAGCAACACTTAGGCGTCTTCCTCTCCAGCTTGTAGCAAAGAGTATCATTGACTAAATCCATTCCAAAAGGACATTTCATGCGACTAATTTGAATGGATCCCGACTGACGTTGCGCCGAAATACCGGCAGTCAATAACATCAAGAGCATCGCCAGGACCACTAAAGCTCGGAGGTGATGCATCGTTGTGGAATGTAATGCCAACTGAATAGCTCGTTCGCCTTCAAAAGGTGAACTGAAGGTATGTAAGGTTTTAATTGCGTTGGCCTCGCAGGTGCTAAACTACCTTCCGGTGCGTTGTGATAAGTAATCGTACGATTGCTATTTGTTGTTAAATTAATTGCCCAGGTTTGAGATCACTAAGGATACATCCTGTGGCGTGTTGCAATTAAACTCAATTATGAATATTGCTCTTGTGAGGTAGTTTTGATATTCAGTTGACTAATTACTTTATTATCTTTATATTTACGGAAAGCCATAATTTAAATCTGAAATATCTTATATAAAATATCGTCCTATTTTGTGTTTCTACTTTGATTTTTGTTTTGATCGTAGTAGAAAAATTCGTAATACAAAAGCAACTCGAGAGACTTGATTGAACCCTGATTGAATTATTTTAAAAATTCGTCCTAACTATTATTTAAAAAAAAATAAAACAGCTGTTCATAACAACTAAGATGATAGGAACGTTGATCGTGGCAAGGCGGGACAGTTAACTCGGCAAGGTGGGACGAGGCAGGGCGATGCAGCCGAGGCGTGTGGAGGATGGCAGGGGTGAGTGTGGAGCGGGGCATAATGAAACGCGACAGGACAGGGCGAGGAGGGACAGGGCGACGTCGGACGGAGGAGATGGGACAGGGTGCGGTTGCGTGGGACGGAGACGGGACAGAACAGTCTCAGACAGTGTCGGTCAGATCGGGGAAGGGCAGGTAGGGTGGAAATGAACGGTACAATTGCTATATAGCAATAATTCATTTACAGTGTTTTGTGAGAACGGTTTCTTATAATCTGTCAAAAACCGTCTTCTTTCCGTGACACATTATTTACAGAGAGGATTTTTAACTAGAAGTATCCTGCGCTGATCGTAATTAATTTCATTCGTCTACTAGACAGCAAATGGTATGAATTTTATGTATTGTTGTAGGCTTCTGCGGCCAGAGTCATGATCTGGGCTGTCCGAGTGACGCCGCGTTGAAGGCTGAGGTACCGGACATTTTGGCTAACATATCCCGGTCTTCTTCAGGATACAGTGCCAACAACTACAGCTCTGATGAAGACCGCGATGTCGAAAGATCGGCACCTCAGCCTTCAATGTAGTGTCACCCGGACAGCGCAGATGATGACTGGTCGCAGAAGCCTAGGCCTCATTTTATTTATACTCCCCACAATTCATAGTATTTTAGGTACGAATAATTCGAAACCCTTTCACAATCTAAATAAAAGAATAAAAAACGCAAACACATATTTAGCATGTAGAATCATATACAATTAACACGAACAAATGAGAATTTTCAATGTGTCTTTTAAAATGTCGTAGTTATTTTAGTAAAAGTTCTGTACAACAGTAAAATTATATTTTTAAAGTCTCAGTTTTCGAGGAATTTTACCTCCGTGAAACGTGCTTTTTTTAACTGAAACTCTTACACATGTATGGATTGCCAAATAAAGCGATTTAAAAAATATTTCTAATCAATTTTGATTATCATGTTTGTCCTAGAATGTCATCTCCTCACTTCAACTAACATAAGCATGTAAACAATTCTAAATAGCATAAAACCGACCGATGTATTCCATGACAAAGTATATCAATTTATTTCGATTGCCTTAAGCCGAACTCTAGAAAATTCTGGGCCTAGTACTTAATGAGGGTGAGTACGAAAAATGTCCGAAAAATCCAAGCCCTTCTATAAATGACAATCAATTTTGTAATGCATAAGAGAACTAATTCACGGCCTCCAACAAAATACTACGGAAACAATGTCAGTCACATTTCGCAAGTCGAATAGTCAAATTTAAACAAAAATCAAAGAATATTGAAATTTTCACTAAGAGAATGAAACGTTGTACAATAGTGTTTTAACATCTTTATAAACAGATTTATTATCAAACTGATGTGGTCCTCTCGACCTCGTTTAAAAGTTCGCGTATTGCAATACGATTCCTTGCGATACGTATGTCGTAAATAACAATTGAAACACTTACGTAGCTGCTGAAGTCTCCCTGCGGCGCGTTTCCGCGAGACCAGGCGACACCGCTTTCTTATCATCTTGAACGGCGGGTGACACAAGTCAGGAATAACTCCCGTGACTTGCCTTTTGGAGCCGCTTTCAGGCCAGTCGCCAATCGGTTGCGCGCAGGTTGCTAACGCCAGCAGCAGCACCAGAACCATCGAGGTGAAGACCGCGAGAGCACAGTGCATTTTTTTTGCGTGAAAAACGTTGCTGTCCTATGTATTACGTCCTCACGATACTCTGCCAGCTTTCCAAATGCTTACCTGCTACTGCCTAAATGCTACACTGCTCAGTCACCTGACTAATACGAGCGCGAGGTAACTGGCGCCAAACCGCTATTTCCGGCGTTTTCAACTTTTTATGATATTCGTTGATCGTTTCTCGTTATTTTTGTGATTTTTTTCTTAATTAGATTTTGTGGTCTCTCTGTAACCTTTTTATTGATTACATTTTGTACATTATCATTCTTAAAATGGTCAGATATTTTTCCTGGAGTAATGTATCGAAAAATTTTAGGCCAAATTTTCTCTTCATAAAATAATTATTTTACACCCTTCGGTAATCTTGCAAGTAGTTATAGTAAAGAATTATTGTGATAACAGACAAAATACAAGTTAACAATAATTATATCTAGTGACGATATATTAAAATTAAATTTCATTCTGTAATATATGACTAGCACTAAACTATTATGAGGCTTCTACATCTACGATGAAAGAAGCGAAGTCTATGGTAGGCGCTCTTTATTGTCATTATATCCAGTGCTTCACTGCATCATATTCAGTAATTGTCGTATTCTAATGTCGCTTAGGCTACTTGAAGCAAATACGAAGATAAAACATAAAATTATTTGTTTATGGCGAAAATAACCGGTACTTCATTGTTGCATTTACTATCCTTTAACAGCGTCTTAAATATTTGAGCAAACTTCTGAAAAAGTAAGTGTACCAACAGTTAACTTGTAGAAAATTTAAATTTATTATTTCATATACTTCTATATCAAAAAACAATGGGGTATGATTGACGAGCAGGGATATAAAAGAAAACTTAACCGTTCTTAATATAATAAAAACATTTTTAACTACCATAATTTTTTATTTCCAAATAAATATTATTAAAATAAATTAGTTTTTCAAATAAAGGTTTTAGTCTTAAATAAAGTTAAAAACAATTACATAGTTTTCCAACTCCATAAGACCTTTATTTTGCTGAAGTTGGAGCATCGTTATAGCGATAAACGTATTCTAGAGCCAGGAAAAGTTCAATATTGTAGTCGAATAATAATTCTTAAAATAAAACTGTGGGAGTGTTTAAACAAAGCAGAAAAACTAAGTTCCGTACAATCTGCGCGAGTCACTTCGCTCACGTTTGGCGAATTCTAATTTTTTTAACGTGCCGTGCGCAAAAGATGATTTGAACACGCTTTGCGATGTTTCGTGCACGCTGCGTATACTATTAGTTAAAATGTTTAAAAAAATTAGCCGATTCACACTCTGCACCATGGTTCATCACAAATGCAGCACTGCACAAGGACTTAAAAATGCCCACTGTCTTGGAAAGAA